CTGACCTACTAGATTCCTTTTCTCGACGGAAAAAATAGGAACTTAAGTTGAAAATCGAAGCATTATTATTTATTTTGATGACTTATTGTTCACACGACACACCCACACCGAAATAATATAAAAATAAACCCCATTGTAAATCAATACTGCGATAATTGTAATTTTCACTAAATGTTAATATTATCATTTTCTATTAACGATAACATTAAAAAAATATTTTGACAGAGTTATTTAAAATCTTAAGACATTTGATAATTTCAATTTTTTCAATTGTTTTTTTAAAATTATTATCTCCAAGACTACAAAAAATATTTGCTGGTTCGAAAAGCTTGAAAATTTAATACATCCTCATCATTAGTTATTATAATAATAGCAGTTCAAAAGATACAATGTGTTAAGCTCAAATTTTTTTAAAAGCATATTTTAATTTCATGTTTTGACAAAAATCACGATTACTTTCAAATGATTTTGTAGTTAAAATTTATGAAGTGTCCAATCATTATAACTACAAAGGTTGAAAATTTCTCAGAGTAGTAATAATATTAAAATTTCTAAATACTAAATAGTGCTTATACACTTTAAACTTTACCTATATCTGTGGCGTTGGTGTATAAACACTGGTTTTTGTAATAGATATTTTAAGAAATTAATACTTAAAAATTACAGTTTTTATGAAATACTATGACTAGATTACCTAGAGTTCTATACCCGGTATAATACCTATAGTATAATACCTATAATACCTCATACCTAGTATTCTTATTTACATCTATCAGAAATTTCATGACGTGAAGTTTTGAAAATCTGAAGTTCATGGAAAAAAAACAGCACAAAATTTGGAAAAGAATTCGTTGCTACCATAGAGTAATAATACTAAGACCATAGACCTAATAGTTAGGTTCTATTATTATTATACCATGTCTATGATGGTTGGTACTTACTACTTTGTACTTTCAGTTAATCGTTAATTTCTTGTCATGGAGAACGGTTAAAATTTTAGTTTATTTGTATTGAAATAGTTTTTTGACGATTTTTTAAATGTCTGCTATCTATTAACATAAAAATCTTATTTTTGAAGTTCAAAAATATGAAAACTTGTACAGTCAAAAAGGCTTTCAGACAAAAGGAGTGAATATTCGAAAATGAGATCAGCGAGGCAATGGCAGGTAAAAAAGGTAAGTACCTAGTCATGTTCATTAACGCGTAATTTGGTAGCATTACCCAGCAAATATTTAAATTTATTGTGACCCCTTGGTCACATAACAATTGTTCACAAATTTTAATTTGTCAAATTTATAAAAGCAATCATTCAGATATAATTAAAATAACTAACATATTATACAAAATAAAATTTAAATATTACTATAAGTTAAATAAAAAAATTCAAGATAATCATATACAATTTTCTTTTAATTATCAGAAATGACAATATTTTCGTACCTACCAGATAACCTGATTAGCTGGTGGCTGAATACCTAGATCTCAACTTAAATGATTTTTTTTTATGAATATGAATCTTAATTTTTCTAATTATTAAATACAGAAATAATGTAAATACCGGTACCTAAATATTTTTTTCGTCATGCATAAAACTACCAAATTAAACCTCACAACATTATTAAATTGCATCCAAACAGTTCGGACACAACTAATTACCACTGAAAATAAGTATAACAGTTAGATTAGGGTCGGGTTTGACGTGATGAGTGCGTATAAATCAGGGCTGTTCAAATCTAATAAATACAATTTTGAAATCTATAAAAATACGTTGGCGAAAATCCGTACCGTTAAGTTGACGGTAAAAATTAAAAATCTAAACGACGCAAAACTAGTTTTAATATTATTTTCACATCAACCCTATTAAAATTAAATCGCAAACATAATACTCATAATAGTATGGCACTCGACTGGAAAATTAAAATAGCCCGATATCGCTTGCATTTGTATTTCCCGATTCATAACAATATTTTAGCAAAATTGATTTAAGCCATTCGACGGTGTACGATAATCTAATTAATTGTATTCACATACTTGCTTACTTTAAATGCATATTTCAAAACGCTATTATATATATGTTTTTTATATAATGAAAAAACTCTATTTCCTTGGTAATTGGTCTTCTGTATTAAACGATGTACGAAGAATAAAAAAATAATATGCAAACATAATATCATGATGGATATGATGTGATTTCCGTAATTAAAAAAAATACACCAAATGAGTACTTTTTCGACCAATTCACGTCGCATCACGACATTTTAAATAATATAAAAAACTGCAGCGTACAACTGTTCAACTAATTTTCTATAGCCCCAAATTTGTGACGACAATTCAATATTTTTCTCACCCAAAATAACTATTATATCTAGATGTACCTATTCAGCTTTTGGACGCCGATGCATCTCCATTATCACGATAATTTCAGGCGGCACTGAAATGGTATTATCCTTATTTGTCACTAACCGGCAACCACCATAGGTATACTCTTCGTTACAGTTCGTGTTTCGCGTTAGACGTAAACAGATTTGTTTTAATATTATTATTAGATGACGACGAGAACGACGACGAAAATAATAATAATAAGCGACCGCAGGTGCGACGCGCCCGATCAGTCGCTGTAATGTCGTCAATAGCCGATCAATCTTTACCCACGAGTTTTCCCCTCGTTTACTGCTTTATAAGTTTAACAGAAAACCTAAAAAAAAAAAAAAAATAGAACAACGGAAAAAATCTAAAAGATGTAATATGTATCGTATTATAATGCATTATATAATATATATATTATTACATTATACGCGATGTTATGTGAGTACGAAAACGCCTTTTCAATCACAATTTATTTCCGCTTGGAAATATTTAGAGACATCCGTCGTTGATTTTTTTCGGTTTTCGCGTCATGCGGTTTTTATTTTCTGTGAAATCAATTGTTATCAAAACCTTCAAAAACTCAACTATAATTTATACTATGTATACTAACATCACTGCATTATAATAGAACCAAACTCAATATTAACTACAGGTGCGAGTTAACATTATGATAAGTACCTTACTCTTTGGATTTTACTATTTTAGAAAATGTAGAGATCGGCCGATGGTATAGTGACGACATAATCGTTTAGTATAACTTCATTAAATTTAAGTTAGCTATTATATATTTGATTATATTGTTAGTAAATCTGTTAGTGTTCTTGGTTTTATTAGACGACATTCCACTAGTTTCAATTCTCCTAAGTGTCTCTCCGCGCTTTATTGCGCACTTGTACGTTCGGTATTAGAGTATGGAGATATTATTTGGGCTCCATACACCATATGCGATTCACTAAGGGTTGATAAAGTGCAGAACAGGTTTCTGAATTATGCTGGCTACTGTTTAAATATATTTCATCTACCCCACGATTATCAACCTACAAACGATGTTCTGCGTCTCGATTCCCTTGCATCTAGACGTCAAATTCATTGTTATCGAATTATAACGGGATTGTTAAACGGGCAAATAGATGCGCCTCGTTTGTTAGAAAGACTTAGTATCCAGGTTCCCAGTAGCACTCGATCCCAGGAAACTTTTTATATACCAACCAGTAGGTCTAACTTTTCCGCTAATGCACCTCTCCTAAGAATGATGCGCATTTATACCTTGAATACCCTATGACACTTCGTAACTAGGCTACTTATTTACTTATATTTTTTTGTTATTTCAGTTAAATCACTCATATATATTGCTTTATTTTATCTGTTATAATTTATGTCTCATTGTAATGTTACGTATTCTGTATTCTATCCTGTAAAAGCCGATTGGCGTTAATATACAGGGTGATTCT